TACCTTTACCTTGTGGTGGTCTTTGAGCGACCTTTATCTCCTTAGTGTTTTCCTTTGCACGAGCGTTCTATATCCACTTTGTCTTGGTTGGAGATGTAGCCTGGGCGAATTCACTCGCTAGTTGGTGGGGATGGGTAGGGTTTAGCCTCAGGGGCAATGATCCAAGTTGGTAGTTTGTGAAGAATCCTACAATCAATACCGCTATCTATGATACTCGATCTGTCTGCATGTGATGTTGTAATGCGAGTAAAGCTATGCCCCCCGATCCCGGCATACTTCGGCGTCCTCGCACCACTTTCCAGCAAATTCTCACCGCAGCCCCACCACGGCCCAACCATGCAAACCACCAAGTCCATCTCGTGTTGCGGTAACCATCAATATAAACTGTGTTATTTTCCATCGCACCATCAATCAGTCAAGCAACTCGCTTACAATCGGTTTTGTAGTGTGCGTAGATCCTCTTCCTCACTTACCAACTTGCCCCCGCTAATAACCATCCAGGTAGCGGTTATCACTCCGGATTCTGATCTCAAAATCAGTGTCTTCCGGCAACCCCGGTTCGATTCCGGGCAAGACCTCTCTTTTTGGATCCGTAGAGGCCGTGGGTAGTGTAGGAAGACGTGGTGGGATGCGTGGTGGGCTGTTGGTGGAGATCGAAGCTTTTTTTGGTTTCGGGTATGTCAGACACACCCAACTTTTTTTGGACATAGGGATCGGATTGCAACGCGAATTCGGCGATGCACTATGTATTGATACGTGCTTCTAACTGTCTAAGGTGCATTGCATGTTGATGCGATAGCTGGATATACTACATTCTTGAATCGTGTCATTTTCGTATCAGAAAGTATCGTTTTGCCTGATGCATGCATATAACACACGTTGTCAATCCCCTTGAATGTATATTCCTAGCTGTTACGACTATCTTTGATGTTCAAAATAGCACAAGTTGCTATGTTGCGTAAGGCTCGCTGCATCGCACTCCCGAAGTTCATGTGCCGAAGTTTCGCCTTTTTGCCCCCACCCCTGCCAACGAACACATCCTTCAAAATTGAATGGATAGTACTTAAAAGCTACGTGATATATCCCTCTAAAGTATCAATTGAGGTATTTTGGAATGAAATTCGTGTCTTCAATCTCTAACCCAAAATCTACCAAAAAAAAGTCCAAATCCGCCCACACCTATTCACTGCCCACCCCCGCAACAAAAAACGAAAGCACTACAGCAACTGTAGCTGCTCTTGACTCATCGGAGGTTTGAACTCCGGACCTTCAGTGTCCTAACGGGTGGCTTTTGAGGCCCCTTGTTAGACTGACGTGATAACCAACTACACCAACGAGCCCTGACTTATAGCAAGAGGTAAAATAGTAAGATTTATGTAGTTATTCCGCGGGCCGTAGTGTCAAAACTGAGGGACTTGTTAGACCTGGAAATTGTGCATTTGCTAGGGCGAAAAGGGGGGGTTGAATGTGGGCAGCTCGCTGGAGCTATAGCCACTTGGCCGGGTGGGGAGCTATCAGCTTACTACAGAAGCACCCTGATACGAGGGGCAACGAGTCTTCATTAAGGTTACACTGGTATACATCTTTACTACATCACGTCGTATTAACATGACGTTGAATAAGTGGTTGTGGTTATTAAAATGTATTGACTCATGACGGTACCTCGATAGCTTAAAACAGCAACGCGGAGACAACGTATAACATCTATCGCTACAATGACAACAGCCTCTCACAGGTAAAGGTGCCTAGAGCTTGCTGCCTGCTAATCTCCTCTTCTCCTTCTCCTTGTCCCTCAACAACCGTCGTAGAATCTTGCCAGACGGCGACTTTGGAATCTCGTCGATGAATTCAATACCACCGCTGATCCACTTGTATCGCGCCTTGTGTTCTTCGACGTGCTTTTGTATCTCGCGAGCGAGGACGCGGTCGTTCTCTTCGAGGCCGACTGACGGTGATTTGACGACGAAAGCTTTTGGTACCTCTCCGGTCTTTTCGTTGGGAATCTGGATGACGGCGCAGTCGTTTACAGCGGGATGCGTCAGGAGGTGTGCTTCTAGCTCTGCGGGTGCGACTTGGTGGCCCTTGAATACTGTTAGTATTTGTCATCTTATACAAGGAGTGGGGAACGTACCTGAACCTTGATGAGTTCCTTGATACGGTCGACGATGAAGACGTGTTCGTGACCATTTGGCCCCTTCTTGAAGACAGCTTCGTCACCAGTACGCATGTACCCATCTTGGAACGTTTCCTTGTTGGCCTTGTCGTTGTTCAGGTAGCCCAGTACAACCGAGGGAGATTTGACGAGCAACTCGCCAGGCTGATCGTAGCCAGTGATCTCGGTGCCCTCAATAGTAACGATCTTGCACTCGATGCTAGGCAGAAGGGAGCCGGATGAGCCGAACCAGATGTCGTCAGGAGAGGATGAGGATACAACGGTGCATGTCTCCGTGAGACCGTATCCTTGTCGTATCTTCCACGAAGGAAAGATCTTCGAGAGATCCTCTGCGGTTTCTTGCCCTAACGGTGCAGCGCCAGTAAAGATCGACCAGACAGAGCTGAGGTCGTACTTGTCGAGCAGAGGCTTGTTCTTGGTCATGAGAATGATGATCGGTGGAACTAAGAACAACGAGTTGATCTTGTAGTCTTGGATCGCTTGAAGAGTCGATGCGAACTCAAACTTGGGAAGAACTACGACACCATCTCCACGGTAGACGTTTGCATGGCAAATGACAACCAGGCCGTAGATATGCGACATAGGCAAGAGGCCCAGGGCGATCTCGGTGTAGTCGGATTGGTTTCGTACGTCGTTGATGATCGTGTCTCTGTACGGCTTCTCGTAGGTAGTGATTTGCACTGTGTGTGGTTAGCTAGTATTTGATGCGATATAAGAACATGCTTACTTGTGTTCGCGATGACGTTCCTGTGCGAGATCATGACACCTTTCTGTGTAATACGTTAGCATACAGTTGCGCATACGCATAATACATTCACTACTTACCGGTAGTCCTGAAGTCCCGCTAGAGTAGCAAAGGAACGCGGTTCGCAGAGCTCCGTCGCCTTTCTCCCAGTTCAGCTTTGGCAGACGATCAAGCTTCTCGCCCTCACGGATGAGATCGTCGACCGTCTTGAGCCCCTTTGGTGTTTTCTTGCCAGCGAACGATTCGGGCACCTCCAGTATGTATATGCGATTCTCGGGGATGCCGCTGGCCTTGGCCGCCTGTCGCGCGGTGTCCAAGAGGGGAACGCAGGTGAAGAGGGCTTTCGCGCCGGAGTTCTTCAATTGGTATTCGAGTTCGGCGGTACTGTATGCGGCATTGGCGGGCGACTGGATACCACCTAGACGATGCGTGGCCCATGCCAATGGGAGTGTGTCAATCTAGCTAACGTCAGTACCGTTACAGATCTTACAGCCTGGAATGCTTACCGTGTTGACGGAGAAAACAGCGATGACCTTGTCCCATTCAGTCGCCTCGTTAGGTTTGAAGCCAAGCTCCTTTGATAAGCCACGGGCAAGAGCCTCGACGCGGTCTCGCATATCCAAACACGAGTATGTCTTCCCGGTCAACCCGCAGGTGAAGGGGTCGTTCGAGTAGCCGAGCGGGTGGCGGCCATAGTGCTCATCGAGCATAAAGTCGCAGATGGGAATCGAGTCTGGCGGATCGAATGGGAGCTGCGGCACCCATGAAGGAGGATTGAAAGGCATGTTGAGCGATATCTACGCGTACGTCAGTATGCGCGAAGTCTTGGGACGGATGCAGGAACTCACCTATGGTAAGCCTCAATTGGCGATGCAGGGAGAAGACAAAGGAGGAATCAAAACTCGAGCTTTAACGCATGCGCCCATCTTCCTGAATGACGTTAGCATCATCGGATGCCGTGTCTGGTCGGAGCCGACAGCTACTGCCAGCCCCCAAATGTGGGGAAAGCTGGGGTACCGAGGTCACGTCTCGAAGCGGCCAAAGCTCTCCTTGACGCCGGCCTTAGCTCGGAGCCAGCAAAACGCGACTCACCTCCTCGACCCAGACATCAAGAAAGAAATAATTGCTGCGTGGGACCGAGTGTAATCAGAAGTCGCAAGCATGACGAGTCGCTCCAGGCTTGGCTGCTATCGTGGAAGTCGCTCTTATCGCGATGGAATACAGCAAGAGCCATCCTCGACCCTGCCTCCGCGCTGGCAGCCGTCTTCACTGTCACCATCTCCAACGTTTGCCCACTCTCACTGCGTCGCCCAAGTGAGAGCGTCTCAGCAGAGTTTTCCGTGACTCTAATTGCAGCTGTCTTCCTATTGTATTGTCGCAAGAACCTGAATTGAATTTCTATTGTCCGCATGACGCGATCCCACCACCTGCCACTCCTGACCTCACTCTGTTGTTTCCAGACTTCAATTTGTCTTTCTTGTCGCTCCAACTATCGTTACTGAATATACAACTCGCATCTAACAGTAAACGACTGCTCGAATCACTCATCTCTCATGGCGTCCCCAAAGCGCAAGTCTGACGACAGCGATTTCGACTGAGAAAGTGCACCCGGAGCGAAGCAACCCAAAACCACACCCGAATCAGGGACCGCTGAACTCCAGAAAGATCTCGGTAACTATGGTAGCGCATCTTCCCAACGCCCGACACGAGTGAGAAAACCACCTGAAAGATATATTAATGCGCCGCCTCAGCCGTCAGCCATCAAGAAGAAGAAAGCGACCTCGGCCAAGGCCAAATCATTTTCGAAGGAAGCTTCAGCTACGTCAAGGGGTGCTTCTCATCAGATTCAGGCTGAGGTTCCGGCACCTTTGGACACAATTGCCAATGGCATCGACAGCTCGTCACAACTACCGGAGAAAAAGTCCAAGATAGTCTGTCTCAAAATCCCGGTCAACACGTTCACACGCCAGCGAAGCCAAAAACACGAAAACGAAAGCTCTGGTAGTGAGCTATCGTCCCCGCCGGGATCTTTGCCATCAACTCCAGTTTGTAAAACCCTCGAACTTTTCGGTCATCAACCTAATGAGCAAGCAGGTTTCTGCCTACGATAACACACGGAGCTCTTTTCCGCTGGACGGACAAGGCCAATGTGCTCAGCGTATACTTGGACCCGTACCGGCATCGAGCCAGGATTTCACAACTCCATCTGCCTCGCAAGAAACCGTCCTAAACCAGACACCCATATCGCAATCATGGGAACCGAATACGCCGGAGGACAGTATGCGCGACGCCCCAGGCTTCGTCAATCACGCGCAAACACCACCTTCGATGCTGTCGAAGGAGGCCGATAGTCGCTTCGCATACCTTACGCCCGAATCAGCTATCCACTATGATCCGAGTGTCGTACGTGGCAAGTCGGACATTGAGCTTGGGAACGGCCAGGTGCCTGGACAAGACTCATGTCTAGCCCAGCCCATACCGCCTTTGGGCTTGACCTGCGAAAGGTGTGGCGCAGCTGAGCATGGAGAGCATGACTGTTCCGCGTCTATTTCTTTCCCCGACAATCGAGATCGTGACGGACAAGTCGAGGCTTGGCTTCGAGCTGGCGATTCCGCCGACCAGACAAAGCCGCCTTGTGCTGACCGTATTGGGCCGATGCCCAGTCTGTATGCGGAATCAGACGCAACAACAGATTGCGACGGATTTGTGGGTTCTCCCGTCGGCGAACTATTCAACGTACCCGACAACAAACACCTCTCTGATATTACCGAGCGACTCATTGCCCAGCAGAACAGAGGTTCGAACAAGCCAGAGCCGCACGGACAACCAGAAGTTTGGGCAGATGGACGGCAAGAGATCTGCGAGACGCTGCATTACTATCGCGCATACCAAAGCGCCTGCTACTCAACTGGCGGTTTTGTGAGAGGCTTCATGTTCGACAAGGTTGCCCATACTCGCGACTATATGGATACTAATGTCGTCATCTCACGAGCAGGTGGTGGCCTCGCGAAGGACATTGACTCCGGTGAGATGAAGTCAAAGAAGGACCAAGCTGAAGACTCAGCTGCACTAGGCTTGAGGAACTGCATGCTTCACTACAACCCAGTCGTCATCATCACTGGAGTCGACAACCCCAACATCCCATCAAAGCCACCGCATCAGTATTGTGTTCTAGATCATTTCAAGCCCACCCATATCTGGGCTGAGAAGAGTGGTAAAAGCAAGATTGTGCGATACCGATTTGAGAAACTGAACACTAAGAAAGAGTCCTGGTGGAAAGAGAAGGATTCACAGGAAGTTGTAGAGCTTGGCTCGCTACCACCCCCAGTTGAGAAGATATGCGGAACCTGCAACGTAAAGTCTCAACAGATATACCTGAACGGGTGGATGTGTCTACAGCCGACTTGCGCCGCCTTTTGGAAGACCCTTATGCCAACACCAGGACCCGGAACGAGCACGTCAGCGCAAGAGCCAAAAGAAGCCTCTTTGGTATACGACCCACGCTTTCTTAAGCAGAAGACTCCTTGGCACAATGACGACCACGATTGCCCTCTGGTCTCTAACGCTGCTGAGCTTTCAGGACACTCTATTCCCGGTGAAAATACATCCGTCGCATTTTGGTCTGGTATTGTTTGCCCTGGTTGCGGACGCTGCACATCTCGTCTGAACTGGACAAATTGGGAGTGTTCCAATGTAGCATGCCAGTACACGAGGACGCCTCCGCACACGCTCATCCCCGCGCTATCGCTTCACGACCCGTTATGGCCAGTCACTAGCAGCTACACGCTGTCTAGGGATACAATGACACCTCTTCTAGGACTGAGGGTATCATTTGAACATGGATATCGCATCAATCGTTATGAGTTACCCGGGGTCAATGGCTTCATCACACACATGATCGCCAACAAGACAGTGCTTGAGGAAGAAGGTGGACCAGATGCCATGTTCGAAGAGCTCCAACAGACGGACATCGGACTGCAGCGACGCTCTATGCCGAACGGTCAGCTCAAAGGACCAAACTACTGCCGCCATTTCGCAGTCAACTATGGCATGCCATATAAGTTCATCGCAGCGACAGCATCTCGCTCCTTCGATGGAGCCGCTCGTCCAATAACCAGCACTCGCAGTCGTTTGAACTGGGCGGCCAAGTTGCTCTTGACACAAGAGACTGGGAATAGCATGGAAGATGTCAATCAGAAATGGCAAGAGAAGGAGTTCAACGAAGTTCTAGCACTGGGATACTTCGAAGAACAAAAGATCAACTACCACGATGACGGCGAATTCGGCCTCGGTCCAACTATTGCGACTCTGAGTTTGGGTGCGCCAGGCACTATGCGGATCCGCATGAAAGCCCGTCACTACCACGGTATATCTTCTGTCGCTGGTCTTTACGATGATGTTGCGCCAATTCCTGGATGCGAACACTACGACGCTCGTCTCGCACTTCAACCTTCGCTCGATGCGCTCAAGATATCAGACTCCAAGGCGTACAACGCGAGGAGGAAGCAGATACCCAAGCAGTTGAAGCTCAACAACCGAGGCAATGCGAGGGACGCGCTGACGATGCAGCTCGGTCATGGCGATATTGTCATCATGCACGGTGCGGATGTACAGAAGTATTATGAGCACGCTGTTGAGCACTCAGGTAAGCTGCGGTTTGCGCTTACATGTCGGTACATCGATCCCAAGTCGCTGAAGGCTGAGGATCAGCCCCAGTATGAGGTTGGACCGGACGAGGAGCGATACGATGGATCAGGATTGATGTAAGGTTCTGTGAACGATGTCGAAGTGGGATGACGGAGAATCTGGGTTGGACGCGGATTAAAGCGACATGGATTTAGATAGCGTGTTTGAAGAGTAGTCACATCTGGAGGATACCATGTTATCATACGAAGGTGGACATGTCTCATATCTTATACGGGTCTGCTCTGGATCTTGGTCATTAGATATCTATCAACTCAAGCTTGTTCGCAAGAAATTACGCTGAGGCCAATGTTCATGTCAAGCGCGCTTATGCAAGTTCATTTGCTATCTGCAACAACGCGCTGTCTCCTAATGCTGCATGCTTAAAACCAACTCCAAGCTAACTCTAAACTCTAACTCCTGTGCCTAAGAAACCTCTTAATCAGCTCTAGCCTATGCCTCTCCCTTCCAACATGGCGCAAAGTTTCCTCAACGAACGCATCCGGCCTCCACACATCTCCAACCGTGTAATACAATCGTCGGACCGTCGCCGTGTCTTCATCGCCCCAATCTAAACTCCAGTCCGCTTTCACGCCAGGTGCATAGTAGGATAGTTCGAAGAAGCCCACGTTATGACCGATTTCGCACTCGAGCATAAAGCTCTCGAGGACAGGCATTTGCTGCGTCGCTTTTGCAAAGGCGATGAGAAACGGGTCTAGCGTGTCTCGATTACCGTGTTGCATGTATTGAGTGTCCTCCTCGTCCCTCGGGGTGCCAACGAAGTACCAGGCACCAGAAGGCGCGACGGGGTTGAACGAGATCTTGAGCTTCTTGAGCGAGGGCCACGATGGCATGGCGCGCGATTCGTGGACAGAGGGCCAGAACAGCGTCGAGTCGACATAAGCGTCCAGAATGAAGGTTGTAAGATTCTGAGAGAAGACGCGTAGGGACGCGCTAAATGGATCGAAGAGTGTGCCTTGTGGAAGACTAGAGGACGTAGCTTCTCGGTGATCGAACGGCGCTTCCTGGTGGAAATCGAACATCGCTACTGAGCTAGCCGGAAGCTTCGTTCGCTCAAGTAACCTTGCGAAAGTTGATCTTCTCTCAACGCTGGCCGATTGTGCACCCTCTTCGTAAAATTCTGCGTAAATGTGCTTCAGGCCGGGCAGAACTGACATGAGCTGGGGCGCAACGGATGGCGATATCTTTCGGCTGTAATTGCCTTGCATCTGGAAATAGCTGATTCGCGAAACTGTAGGTATTTTGTCCACCTCGGACAGCGTGAGATAGGCAGTAGAATACCGAATCTCGGAATCGTAGCAATCGCTCGGGGACTTCGGAGCTGCTAGGTTGAATCGCAACTCGGAACGGACACCTGCATCCTCCCATTGCTTCAAGGTCGAGAAAAGTTCAGCAATGCTATGGGTGAAGATGTCGTTGTTGGCCTCTTGCTCCTCACTGCTCTCCATGAGATTGCCCTGCTCTTCCGGATATTCTGGAAGCAGAATGCTGTACTTCAAGTTCCTCAAATATTTGCACCTATTGCGTGTTACGATGGTCCGCAGTTCGCCAAGATCTTCGCTTCTGATGTCTAGTCGATGGAATGTAATGAACTCAACAGCCTCCTTCCATTGCTTGGATATTGTAGCAAAAGGTGGCAGTGCTGACGACTTAACGACCAACCGTTGTTGTAAGATATTGGGAACCCCTTCTCGATCTGGATACCGATCGAGAAACGTCACCATCCGGTTGATGATCTCCTGAGGTAGGCGGTCCATTGTGACGAAGATGCCCTGAGCTTAAGTCGAATGACACTCACGAACAATGATTTGAGATAGGCAGACGTGAGTTCTGAATGTGGAGGCGCGAACAGCAGTGCGCTCTTAAAGTCGTGAACTGACAGATGAAACAATGCCATAGATTGTACGTGCCGTGAGGTGAGTAACAAGCTCTACGATTTTTGCAGACACACATCCCTTGCGATGTAGAGCGACACTGCGCGACGAAGATGCATACGGCGTCAGTGCCCTGGCTCTCCGATCCATAGACTCACAACTACCGTCTTATGCACGTCGCGTCCGGAGATGCTCCCGAGGAACTCCAGTGATGGAACGTTTGGAGTCAGTAAGATAGTAATATGACCGACTGACCGAGATGAACGTGGTGTGTTTCGGGTTGCTATTTGGATAAAGAAGGATCAGGGTGGTTGATGAAGCTGAACGATAATTTGCTCACGCGCCAGACACGGAAGGGCTCTTCAATGTTGGATGCCAAGACGGGTTGAGAAGAGATGAGACGGACTGCGGAAATCGCTCAAATGATTGCGGGGTGAGCACCGAATTAGCACGGCTTGGCGGCTTGGCCGGTGCGCTAGCATGTGTCCTGTTCGTGGGAGATCAGCGCCGAAGGTCCTGCGCGATTGTTCTGAAGCATAGTCACTACGAAACATGACAGCAAGAGAGCAGCAGACGGTGCGTACCAAAGCAGTGGGTATATTGAAGTAAAGACTGCTCTAGGGGTAGCGAATGCCAAAACTACGAAGCCCAACCTCCCCTATTCCTGCGACGTGACTACTAACGAGTGAGATCAAGCACCCTAAACGACGTGGGTGTGCTCAACGTGAGGCTCCTTCTCGTCGCCGAGGTTGTTGAGGCGCTCCTTAGCAGCTTGTCTGGCGATAGCATCCATGTCCACAGGAGCGACTGCGGCAGGGCCGTCGAAGATACGGGCGATCTCCTCAAGTGTAGGTCCCTGTAGGTACAGCATTAGCATTGTTCTCATGAGTAGATCAAGAGTGTATATACCTTGGTCTCGGGATAGACGAAGTAGACGAAGACAAGCTCGACGGTAATCCAGAGGGTGTAGAAGAGAGCCAAGTTCCAGTGCTTGGGAAGGTTGTCCCATGCGACGGGGTTGGTCTGACCACCGACGGCGAGAATCGCCTGAACAGTGATGTTCATAATCATGAGACCCTTAGCACGGAGAGCGTAAGGCAGAATCTCAAGAGCGTAGGCAACAAGCAGACCAGACCAGGCGAAAGCGTAGAAGACACCGAAGATCCAGACGAATGGGATCTGAGCGTATCCGGCTGCGGAGTTGGTGTCGCCGGAGTTCTCGTAAATAGCGCAGGTGATGGTCCAGCAGACGAATGAGACGACCATACCAGTGGTTGCGCCGAGGAAGAGGGGACGACGACCAACCTTGTCAATCAAGGTAGCGGCGTAGACGGACACACAGAGAGCCAAGATACGTTCACCACCGGTAAGCTGATTCAAATGTTAGTGGGGATTTGCATGCAACGATTCAGCGATACTTACACCCATCTTCTGGTTCTCGCTGGTAATACCAGCACCCTCGTAGACCAAGTTGATGTAGTTGGAGAAGAGCGCGTTGCCGGAGTACTGGGAGATGATGCCGAGAGAGATGAGGATAGCCAACCTCCATCGGTTACCCTTGGTCTTAACAAAGTCGACGTAGCTGGAGTTCTTGTTGGCATCGGCTTCCAGACGAATGACCTCCCTCATCTCGACGTATTCGAACTGAACAGTAGCGTTGTTTCGGTCACCACCGGCATGGTAGTAGGCGAGAGTGTCCAGGGCCTCTTCGTAGCGCTCCTTGGAGATCAACCAACGTGGGCCTAGGAAGCAATGTCAGCGTATATTCGTTATACGGTGTAAAGTTTGACTTACTCTCAGGAACCCACCAAAGGAAGCAGAGTTGGAGGAATGAGGGCAGAGCCTGAAGAAGGGTGATGGACCTCCAAGACCAGTGGTTGTCCGCCTGAGATGTACCCCATGCGATCCATGCGACGAAGAGAGCACCCAAGTTCCAGAGACAGTTGTATACGGCAGTGAAGATACCACGGTGCTGGGGATGGCAGATCTCGGTAAGAAGAATAGGCGAGCACATCTGTGCGAAAGAGTTACCGAAACCAAGGATGAAACGGCCACCCATGTAGATCTGCCAGTTCGTAGAGAAGGTCGAGACAAGGGCACCAGCAATCATGATGGAGCAGCCGACGGCGATTGGAATCTTACGTCCGGTCCACTGGGTCAGGAAGGGAACGAGGAAGAAGCTGACGATCGAACCGATGTTGTACATGTTGTTCATGAGACCCAGGCGGTTACCGGTAGGCTCATCAAAGTAGTCCTGCCATTTGCTCATCTGCTGTGAAGAGTTCATCATCATGCTAAAAGATGGTCAGCAAATCCCACTTCATTACTGGAAAGTCTACTCACCCGTCATAACCAGTAGTGGCGGAGGCAATGCAAAGGACCGAAGAGTGCCAGAACAGCTTTCGCATGTTTGGGTCCTTGTACCAAATGACCTTCTCGAACTCAGGCGCATCCTCGCGGACGGCGCTGTTGCCCTTGGCGGCTCCGACGTGCATACCAACCATCTTGAATAAAGAACGATGGAACTGTGAAGTGAATGATTGACCGAAGTTCAGGACAAGTAGACTGTGCTACTGATGGGCGAAGTCCCTTGGGGTTGAGAACGACCCTCGTCCGGCGTCGAGTACTTATATTCGAATCCACCTCCACTGCAAGCGACCCCACACCCCGGATGGGAGATACTCCCATGCTTGTTCCACCGCGGGTTGACGGACATGGGTACCGCACTTTGCAGGAAGAATGCCTGACAGCAACGGTGGGAAGGGCCAGTAAGATGATACCAAGAAATCTCCACCGAGCGATCTGTTGGCACCAGGCCCGTAGCGCCGTGGGACTAGACTTACAAGAACAGAGAAGTCCCGTCTTGTCATATCTAGGCATTGGCCGCCAACGGAGATATCCAACGTCCGATGCAAATTGCTGTCTCCCCATGGGGAGTTCGGTTGCCTTCCAGAAGTCTATAACCTGGTGGCGCTAGAACGTGTGACCACATTTGACAATAGACCTAGACACGGGTCGCTGTCATTCATTGGCTCTCGAAAGCGCCTTGATATTAACTTTGTGATAGCCAGATACGACAACAGTATGTTGTGTTTTGGAGCAGCGACATGTGCAAAAGCGACTGTTGGCGAGGCCTGATGGTTCCTATGCCTCGGTCTGCTTCAACTCATCAGATGCTAGACTCGTTCA